TATATATATGAGTTAGGATAGATATACAGCTACTTTCTCTTAGTTCACTGAGAATAAAAGTTTGTATTAATATTGCTTAGACAAGATGTCATGTCTGCATCTTGTCATCTGAATAACTACTATGAAGACAATATGAATGTAATAATTAGTGTAACAGTCCTACTAACTAGTTTTGAAGCTGTTTCATTGCTATTTTTATCTTTCTTTCTCATTAAAATGAATAAAAAATAAAGAGGAAATAAAGGGAGAGTTTTATAAAGACTAAGTAATAGATAACAAGTGGCAATGAAATCAAATTGTATGAGGGCCGGCCAAATAGCTCAGTGGATTAAAGTGCCTGCAAGCAGGCACAGGGGCCAGGGGCTTGATTGCTGGACCTGCCATGCTGGCCCTGCCCCTGGGGTGTGCTGAGATGTCAATTAAAATTGGGTGTGGTGGTGTAAGCCTGTAATCCCAGCTCTTGGGAGGCTGTAAACAGGCAGATCACTATAAGTCCAATCTAGTAACGAGAACCTGTAGATCCTGTGGACCCTTCCCTAAAAGAAAAAAGAAAAAGAAAGAATTCAAAGCGTATGGACTTGGGGCAGAGCTCATTGTTATACATAAATTTTCTTGTCATTCTGCAGGTTAAAGTGGGAAAAGGAGAGAGGAATGTAGCATCCACAGGCTCTAGAAATAGCAAACAGGAAAAAGCAAGAAAGAAACCTGCTGAACTTATCACTCTACATTTTTTTTCTTTTATCTTTCATAGTAAAATTCTCTTCTGCACTCCCTACTAGTAGAGTACATCTTTATTATTATCTGGTTAATAAAAGTAGTGGGTACAAACATTATTTTCTGGTTAATAAAAGTGTACTAAAGTTTCCCACTATGGAAGCTTTTTCATCAAAAGTTTAGAAAAGGCTTTCAATGAGTAAGCCCTTCAGGAGGGAATTTAAGCACACAGAGGACATCGCCTTCACCTTCTACTTTTGGAAATGGTGGAAATGTCCCTTCATTCCACTGCAAAATGCCAGCCTCTGTGTGCTGTGAGGCTCCTGCTATTTAATATCATGCAGAGATGGAGACTTGTGCACACAGAGCCAGGCAAACAGCATTTGGTGGCCCGGATGGATTTGTGGACCAGGCTTTCTGCCATTTCTCCAGGGATTCTGCTTGGCGGGGTCAGGCTGGAGGTTGCAAGCTGGGCTTTGTAGCATGAGATGATGGAAAAGAATTTAGGCTGAACATTCTGCAGAAAGCTTGGAGCTTACATGCATTGTGCTGCCGACTGGGAAAAGAGCTCTTTGTGCTGTCAGCACGCATGAGCTATCCTGACACGCTACCTCCCACGCAGGTCTGTGCTGGGGCTCCCTTGGATTGTCCGACGGCAGCAGGTGCGGCAGGTGAGGACTTTTAGAAGCTCAGCATTGTGCAAGGCACGATTGCTGCGATGACGGCTTTGGGGATCCCAGACACGTTAGAGCATAGATATGCACACGGAGGACAGAGACAATGCCTCCCAGCTAGCTGCCATTGCTTTACTCTATTTCCCCAATGCTGACTTTCTATGAGTAAGTTCAAAACTTATTTTTATGAGATTAAAGTGCCACACACGGAGTACAGTCAGAGTGAACAAGTTGTTAACAGGTATCAGTCGTGATGACTATTATAATATGTACTTGTTTATTCTAATTTATTGTAATTCTACGGTATAGTTAATCAAGTTATTGTTTCATATTTTGATTCATTTATTTCTCTCTTCAGTGCTGATTCCCACGTGGAAGTGCTTGGCACTATCATTAATTTTGGGGATTTTGGGGGCATAGTAAAAGAATCATGAACACTTAGGAGTCATTTGATTTGCTCATCATGAAACTTGTCATAAGCCAAATAAATGGGACCACAACCTGATGTCTCCAAAATTGGTCATTGTGTTGCCTCTAGAATTTGAAAAAAAAAAAAAAAAAAACAGGACCATAAACTATACAAAGGTTTTTGATACAGATGAAATCACTATGGAAGTACAATAAGAAAATCTTTGGTGGAGGAACAAACCTTATTGTCACAGCTAAGTCAAATAATGCAGCACTTCCAAGGTAGGAGAGGGCAGGTGAAAAGTGTCTTGCTGGAGTAACAGTCATGATTTTCTGATTAAATAAATGATGTGTGATGGAGATTTTATGTAGAAATCTGAGGAGAAATCTTAATACAAATACTAAAGGGCAAATATACAAGATTATGGAAGTCAATATTCTAATAGGATTTGGCTTTGTATACAAGTGAGCTTCTATAAAGCACTCATATAAAATATGTGGAGTAATGTTGCTGAAGTGTTTAGGCCTAGGGCAAGTTCACTGTTACAAATAAAATCAAAACTATACTGGACTCAGTAGAATGAACACATTCTCTTTTCTCCTGGTCAGGTGTTCTGTAGAAGGCAGGGCTTTTCAGGGTAGACCTGGAGCTCCTTAGTGAATTAGAGTAGTCTCTGATATCAGTTTCCTAAACTACAAAAGGGGGTCCTAGCGCTCACCCAGCAAAGTAATATAAGAAGTGTTTTTCATAGTGTCCCTGAAGTTCTTGACTCGTTGTGTAAACATAACAGATGTTCAATAAGGTTATTTTCACTAGTATTGTTTTTAGACAAGCTCTTGGTTGCTATGTATTTCAGAATGACCTTAGGCTCGCTATGTAGCCCAGGCTGGCCTGGAACCTCACACAATCATCTTTCCTTGCCCAGTAAGGTTCTAGCTCATTTCCACTTGGCCGAATTGTTTCTAGCCCATGACATCCACAGAGTAAACGTTCTCCAGAAGATTCAGCCTGCCTAAGCTAAGCGAGCATGCGGAAGGTCGTCTTCACAGCTAGGCATGCACGAACTTGCAGCTGTGGGCGCGGAAGGTCGTCTTCACAGCTAGGCATACACGAACTTGCAGCTGTGGGCATTTGTTTACCTTTCGTGTACTTTTACTTCACTCAGAAAGAAAAATCTCAGTGAAACACATTTTCAAAAGAATCATTTTTCTTCTATGTGCTTTGATGATTAATTCTTTTTTCTTAATTCATAATCTTTCTAAAGTCAACATTTATTGGTAACAAAGCCTGCCAAATAGCTCAGCGGATTAAAGCGCCTGCTTAGGCAGATGCAGGGGTTGGAGGTTTGATCCTTCAGGCCTGCTGTGCTGGCCCCACCCCCAGGATGTGCTGAGATGGAGACTGAGACTGGGCGTGGTGGTGAGTGCCTATAATCCCATCTCTTGGGAGGCTGAACACAGGTGGATCACTATGAGTCCAATCTACATAGTGAGGCCTTGTAGAACCTGTAGACCCTTACTAAAAACATACAAAAAAAAGTATCAAGTTGTATAGTTATACAGTTTGTTTCTATGTGCAGTAAAGATAAGATGTATGAAATTAACATTATGATATCATTGCCTAATCAGATTTGTATCATGTTAAAAATA